ATCGGAGAGCGACATGGATCGAGTTGGGACAGAGTTCGCCTTGTAAGATGTAGTCTTGTGGTGCTGCCCAATTAAAACCTGTTTCAAAAGAATACTACGGTGCACACCCATTACGGATGATAACGAAAGATTCGTAGCTTAAGTTATTGCTGGCATGTGCTTTTCAGCGGAGAATGAGGGTAAATGGGCACTAGCTGCGTTGGCATTGTCAAGCATCTCAGCGGTCGGTTTGATAACGAAAGCAAAAGAGAAGAGGACAAAGTGAAAGATTTGATGAGATAGTGAAAGTTCGAGAATGACGTCCACCAGTTATTGGTATTTGGTTCCAAAAAAAGAACTGTATGTTTTACAGAACACCGAGTTGAAAAATTGCTTTAAGTATTTTTGTGTGTGGCGTTTTTGACACATCAAATGGTTAAATGCGAAACTGCGTATTAGGTAAAATGCAAAGCCAATTGGCAAAGAAGCGGATATGTGCCCTTTCAAGTGCTAAATAGTCAATTTATTTTTGGTAAACCTAGTGAAATGTACGCTAGTGAAATGACACCAGTGTAATCATTGGGTTATCTGTTCCTTGTATTTGACAAATGTCACGGAATATCCAGGCAATGAAGTGATACAGAGCTTTAAATGTGTTTGACAGATCCTTGCCAGTCCAATGCATGCTCCGCATGTGTAGAACGCGACACGTAAATCGTCCAAGAATGATATTTTCTTGCCCAGGTACGGGCAGCTGATTCAGCTTGTTAAACGCGCATTTGTCTTTTTAGCTCCACGGATAGCCAGGTGACTGTGTCGACCAGCCTTGCTGCGTGTTTTAGTACTTTCGCAAGCATGAAAGAGTTATTTCGGCGCGAATTTATGACACGTCAAGAGCAAGATCTACGGTATCGGGGTTTGTTATAACAGATGGTAGCGTTGATCATGAGATATGTAGCAACTCGCCAAAATTGCTCTTGCTTTTCTCTGTTTTTCACCAATGACTTAAGTACAAAACAGTCCTAACTCCTTATGACTGGCTTATTTTTAGGTGCTAGGCAAGCGGCTGCATATATAACTCACGGACGTGCAGTAGCGTTTTGCGAGTCACGCTTCTCGGTGAGGACCAGTCGTCAGTTTGAGCATCCAAGCCGCGTAAATTATGTACCGCTTGCTGCTAATCTGGCGCCCCCAAAAAACGTTAAAGCTAATCCCTTAAATAGTGCTGATTTGAGGGGCTGAGGACATTATTCCTAACTCATCTGCTTAGATTATATCTAGCTTGTGACGGTTTTTTACGCAAGGGCTACGTATTTGAAGTAACTTGGTTACGTGGCTCAACATTTTATTTATACCAGATCGAGCCATAATTGGTTTACGCAAGAACAAAACACACCGGTTAACACTAGAGCGTCCATTACTGTTCTCTTGTGAGAGTCCTGGTCTCTCACGGTCTGTCCCCTCCCCTTCTCTACCTGCAATGCTGGATTCGGCCCCACCCCTCGGGCAGCGGCTGTGATTCACCCAAGGTGTTCTCCATCTGTGGCCCGCATTAAAGCCACCGCCAAAGCGGTCGCTTTTAGACTCGACGTCCTGCCTGATCTTCTTCGTGACAGCACTGAATCTGAAGGAATGCAAACTAATGCCCATGATCTTCATTATCCGGGTGCGTGACAGATTTACCGATCAACTCGATGCTTTAGCTGGCGATTTCTGATTAAGTCGCCATCGGTTTGAGAGGGGAGGACTTGCTTGCCTATAAATGACCTCATAAGGAGCTTATGATAATAGCCAAGAAAAAAATTTGACTGTCATGCGCATCTACGTAATATTCCAAAATTGTGATGACTGAAGCTGCTCCCCGACATTGCACTGCTACGCCACATCATGTTTGGCTACTAAGTGATAACAGCATAGCGCGACACACGGGTTTGAGTGCGGCGTACTCGCGTGGCTGCCCCCGAGCCTGGTCAGCGCTGACCTCTGACCGGCGCACCGCTGTCCAAGTCACGTGACTGCCGCCGGGCACAGACATAATGCTGCAGAAAGCCGCTTGGAATCGGGCCGGCAAGTAAACATGTTTTTACTCGGTGAAATTGCGGGAGGGGGTTCATGCATTCTTGGTTCGGGAACTAGAAACAGAGCAGACTGTTTACCAAGATGTCTGCAGTATTTTACTCAAGATATCTTAGCTGGTGTTCTTAGAATATTGCGCAACAATTACAGAGCAACATCTGCACTCGGCGTTGAAACAGCTTGTCAAAAATGACAATCATAGGTTGTTATTGTGGCAATTTTTGCATCGGAAGTTGTCATCATGATAATCTTTATATCACAGGTTGTGATTATGGCAATGTTTGTATCAGCGGCTGTCATTAAGGCAATGTTTATATCAGAAGTTGACATTCAACCGGCATAAGAACCAAGCCTTAAAGCGCTCCAGGGTGCACCGTTTTGGTACGCGAGTCCAGAGCGCCTACACAAACGAGCGAACAAGTTATGACTAATTCAGCACCCCGCAGCAGCGGATCCAAAGGGATGAGCACGGGACCATGCTCTCCCCCTCGGGCCAGTAAGAGCCCCATAGCCGGCCGAACAAAGCCAGATTTTTTACACAAATGCAACAAGATTGGACGTCTTTGGGCTCCAGGCAACCATATACAGTCGCAAGCAAAAGTGAAGGGTAAACGAGTACACAATTTTTCTCTTGACAGACTGAGAGGGTGGTGATTGGGAGGTTTTAAGGCTCATTATATCGTCCCAAAGCTTTACGCTGTTGCAGGGTCCCCATATGTCCACTTCTGATTTCTTTGCACTTGCTCGAAGGGCCCTGCGCTGTTGCTGGTCCCTTCCTGCTGGCGTGCTGGGACACTCCTGCCAAGCAGGAGCCGTCTAATGATTCTTTCCGTTAGCCCGAAAGGCTCCATACGCTATAGCCGAGGCCCCCGTACGTTTACCTGCCGGGACATTCTCATTTGTTCAGGGGCTATTCACACTGGTCTCCGTTAACCTACCGACACACTCACCGTATACCCATGAGCCCTCTACATAGATCCAGGGCCCTTCCAATTCTTTGCTGTTTGCGTATTTGTTGAAGGCTCACTTACCCTATTTGTTGAAGGCCCATCTGTTAACCTGCTTGGGTACACTTTTAGTGCTTGGCGCACTGGGTCGATAGGGGCCTTTCAAGTTAACCTTCGCTGGCACACTGGATTGATCGGGGGTCCTGCGCATTGGGTTTTGGTATTTGAATGCGGGGCCCTTTGCCTTTGTCGGGGGCCATGTATGTTAACCTGCTCGGGCGCATTCAATCGTTTGGGAGCCCTCTACATAAGGTCTTGTGTACTTCCTATTTTAATGGAGGACCCTACGCTCTTGCCGGGGACCCTATCCGTTAGCCTGCTCGGGTGCACTTGATTGGTCGGGGGGCCCCACATGGAGTTGCCCGTATTTCTCATTTGAATGAAGGGCGTTACACTTTTGTCAGGGGCCCGTTCTGTTAACCTGTTCTGGTTTACTCGATTGTTCGGGAGCTCTCTACATTGTGTTGTGAGTATCTTTTATTTTAAAGGAGGGCCCTACGCGCTTGTCCGGGGCCCCATCTGTTAACCTGCTCGTGCACACTCGATCATTCCTGGGCTCTCCATATTGTGTCTTGGGTACTTCTTACTTGAATGAATGGCGCTATTTTCTTGTCGGAGTCCCGTCTATCAAACTGTTCGGGCCAGTGGTGGATCCAGCTGGGAAGGATATGGAAACATGCCCCCTCAATCTCCAAGGGGACCCATACGCTCCCAAGGGGCTCATGACCGGCTGAACGGACGTAGTTTTTAACGCAAAATACAACAAAATTGGACGTCATTGGGTTTTCAGGTGACCAAAGACAGTTGTAAGTGAAAGTGAAGAGCCCGTGACCAGGCAAAGCTAATTCTTTGCTGATTGAGAGGGTGGCGAATGGGGATATATTGAGGCTCACTACGCTTTCTAGAGGCGTCACGCTGCTGCCAGTACCCTATTTCATCACTTGCCGGGTCAGTCCGATCGCTGTTGGGACATTATGTGATAACATGCCTGCACACTGCTGGTGGATCAGCGATCCCCCACGGATTCTTCCCATTCGTCCGAAAGGCTTCATACACTATCGCCAAGACCCCATATGCCGAGGCACGCTCAGCTGTTCAGGGGCCCTTCGTATTAGTCTTGGGGTTATTCCACTTGCCAGGAGGCCTGTGTGCTGTTGCTGGGGCTCATGTAAGGTAAGGTACAGAGCCACTCGATGCTGAGGCACCTTCTACATTGATTTAGGGCTATTTTCCCTTGATCTCTTTGCGGAATACCCTTCAGTCATATCGGGGCCCTTCCTATTAACCTGCCCAAGCACTTTTAATTGCGCAGGGACATTAATTCACGCACACCGGTCTTGGTAATACCCTTTGCTCAGAGGCCCTGCCGCGGCACCTATGATCGCTCAAGCCTCAAAATGACAGGATCAGAATCAGAATGACAGGAGTCATCACGATCTGGGGAAAGTAAATAAGCTCCATGTAACTGCATACGCACCACGCCTATCTTTCTGGTGCTGCGCACAGTGAGATGGGTCCTATTTAACAAATGGCATGCTAAGAAACTTACAATCTATTGGTCGGAGTGCAAAAATGTCTTATTGGGGGGGGGGGGGGGGGGGGG